TACCTAGCCCGCTCATCAGAAATCCTGCCTAAGCAGCTTGCCCCCTCTGCATCCTCTTTCTCCATAGCCAATCAAATGCCTTCACTCCCTATAAAACCCCATGCCTGAGAAAGGTCGGGTGTGACTTCCCTGGCCTCTTTCCCCAGGACCACGGAACCTCACCCGGGAGCTGAATAAATTGGCATTTAATCTTTTTTTATGCTGGCCTCAGTTTCCTCATTTTTAACTCGGTGATAAACCTTGCAAAAGAATCAACCTTACAAATGGAATTGTGGCCAACATGGTGAAACCCCATCTCTACTAAAAATACAAAACTTAGCCAGGCATGGTGGCATGTGCCTGTAATCCCAGCTATTTGGGAGGCTGAGGCAAGATAATTCCCTGAACCCAGGAGGCAGAGGTTGCCGTGAATCAAGATTGTGCCATTGCACTCCAGCCTGGGCAACAAGAGCGAAAATTTGTCTCAAAAAAACTAAAAATAAATTTTTTAAAAATGCACATATAGTAAATATTGTAATAATGTACTACCCAATTACAAATCTGTTAAGAAGGTAGATCTTCACAATTTAAAAAAAAAGAAATTATTCTAGCAACAGTCACACACCTATGCATCAAAATTTACAGTCAACAAATTACAGTCGGATGAACCATTTTGAATAAGGTCTGCACCTGCAATCTGGAGTGACTACCCCTTTGTCTTAGTTTTATTACTGATCATCTGTGTAACCATGGGCAACTTTCTTGCCCTCTCTGGGCTTCTGTTTCCTCAGTAAAAGGACTAAAATAAATTAACTCTAAAGTTGATCCTAACAAAGTTTCATGACCCTGAGTTTCTGGTTTACTTAGCATAACCTTCATAAGAGCAAAGTTATCAACCGACTGTCTTTAGACAGACCTAATTTTATATTTTCATGTAGCTCATTGAGGCAATTTCTTCCCTAGTCTATTCCTTTGTGCTGAATTTTTATTTTAAGTTTGACACTCTAGATATCCGTGTGCCTCAAGCAAAACAGTTGACAGAAAGCCATGAACCCATCATGCCCTGAGTCACAGGAAGTAATTACTAATAATACTAATTCTGGTTCATAGTTTGCTTCTCAGTAATTACAGCTGCAGTTGAATGCTTTTAGCATTAACATCGGCCCAGAGTTGCAGCTCCCTCCTCATCTCAGGGAAATGGAACTGTGAGTACCTTTTAAAGCAAGGTTTGCTGCTTTTTTGCCTGGAACACTTTTTAATTGGGTATCATTTGGAAACTTCTAAATCCCATTTTAGAGCTTCTGGTCACTGCGTTGTTTATTGAAGCCCTAAAAGCTAGTTATGAGGCATGCCTGAACAGTGCAAATGTCAGAGCAAAAATTATGATCATCTCTGCTTTCTTCCGAGAATGAAAAGAGCCATCATCTTGACCTTTTTTTAATATACCAAAAGAAATCTAAGATAGCAAAGCTGTATGAGAAAGTACTTATGAATTTGAGAATGAAATTGCACTTCTAATTTAGGAGTTTTCCAGCTAGTTAGGGGGGTTTTAAAGTGTTGGGTTGTTCAGGAACCCACAGAACTGTGTAAATGTACAATTTCGGTTTATCCACCCAAGTGCCTGATTAGAAACTTGAGTCATCTTTACCTTCACTCTGTCTTCCCCACCCACATTGAATGAGTCAACAAACTCAACCCATTCTACTTTTCTAATGATTTTGGAATTTACTCCCCCACCTCCACCCCCATTGCTGCTGAAAAGGCAATTAAAGATCTCATTACTTCTTAAGTGGGTGAGTGGTTGGCTTGATCCCAGCCCCTCTCCACCTCAGGACTCTCCTACATGGACACAAGAGATGGTTTACTAGAGCACAAATTGGAGGCTGATTTTCTACTTAAAAATACACAGTGGTTCTCTGGGGCACAAGTGAGTCAAAGCCTTTGGTTGGTACTGCCTACTTCTTTAGCTTCTGCTCTCAGACTTTCACTTCATCACTTCCAGCCGTCTAAAGCTCACCCACAGACTTATTATGTGTACATCCCTTGAATTCCAAAATGCTCCGTGCACTTGCAAGTATTGCTGTTAGCTCTTTTCTTTGCCAGGAATTCCCAATCTTACTTATCTTTGAATGTGAAGCTCAACCATCAATTTCTATGAAACTTGCCACAACTCTTTTAGAACAGCTCCATTGTCTTTCCTGCCTGCTTCCCTAAAACATTTATTTGTTAACCCAATTATTTTTTTCATTCACCAAATCTTCAAGAAGCAACTAAATTCTGGAAATATGGACCCCTGCCCTTAAGGAAGCCTGCCTTCTTACAGACGATTGGATGCTAGCTGATAGTCTTTTTACCCATATTTTAATCAGTGTTCTGCTTCCTTCATCGGACCGCAAACTCCTTGAAGGAAAGAGACTATGTTTTATTCGGTGCCCAGCGCAATAAGTGATTTTCAACTAATATCTATTGAATTTTACTTAAACTGGCATATCTCTCTTGAGTATGTATGTACAAGGATGTATTTGTACTCAAATCAAGAGACTTATAATGCCTTGTACTTTGGTAGCAGTGCCCTGTCCTGGATATCACCTACATGTCACTGTCTAGCTTAAAACAAACCAGACACTGTGCGAACATCTCAGCAGCATTAGTGTAGATAACATATAAGAAGTACTTGTCACAGTGAATGGCATCCGAAATTGCTAAATAAACACAAATCCCTCTTCAGCTTAATTTGAGCAGCCCTGCATTTTTTAAGATTCAAAATAAGCTGGTCTTTGTTTAAGTTTGATTGACTTTTCAAGTAAGAGCTTCCAACAAAGCAAGAGTTTGCATCCAACACATGTCCTCAGAGGGTTTACCATTCAATCAGTAATAGGAGAGGCATTTGCAAAGAAGAGTAGAAAAAGGTGAACATTGGAATTCCTGTAAGAGAGCTGGGTTTCAGGACCAGCTCTGACATGAATAACTTCTGAAAAATCACCTCATTTCTCTGTTACTTAAGTTTCTTATCTGTCAGGGACGGGAACATTAATAGCACTTTTACCTCCCTTGAAGAGTTTTGCAGATAAAAATATAATACCTGTAAAATTAGCCAGAAAAATAAAGGTAAAAACTTATCAAATGTGAGGTGGTATTTGTAATAGTAAGAACTTAGGAAATGCTCTCATGATGGAACCATCTCTCAGGGATGTCCCCAAGGACATATGAGGCTGCTTGGTAAATTGATACACATATGGTCAGGGATTTAGTAGCAGGAGATAATAAATCCTCCTTAGGTCCTCTTGGGGCAGATAAGAAACAAGTATATCCAACCCTCAGTGACCTGTGATAACAAGGCCAGGGATGATATGGATAAATGGATTTCACAGATTATCCAAAAATATAACTTTTCCCAGTTATGACCTCTAAACTTCTGCAGAAATTCCTTAAAAAGAGCCAAATTACTTTCACCTGGACTCATAACTGACATGAGTTTCACTGCCAGTTCCTACCCCCTCCCATGCCCAGATACAGCTGCAAAAAATAAATAAATAAATAAATTTAAAAACAATAACAACCAGTGAATCTGCTGGGCAGCTGCAATACCTAATGCTGAGCTACCCAGGAGAACTCAGTACATTTTATTTTCAGAGACCTATAAGGTGCTGGCCCTGTCCACATTTTCCTGGGGCAAGGAAGAGGCAACCTAGGGACTGCCAACCCAGAAAATTCTGCAAGTGACCTCAAACCATGGTAATTTCCCCAAGCCGCCTGAAGGAGCTTGTCCCTTCAACTGATGCCTCGGCAGCAATGAAATCAAGTCTTGGATAATTCCTAGTCCAGAACTTTTCTGCAAATGTTTCCAAAGCTGGGGCAGGAAATGGCTTAGAAATGAACAAATCTGTTATTTGAATTATTCAACAATTCTTTCCCTGACAACCCCATGAGGGAGTTGCTTTCCTGTCATTTCTTGTTATGATAGCTTTTCTTTCCATTCTTTTTGCTGCTTTTCCTGAAATATTGGCAAGATAATTCAAAAACACTGTGAAAAGCACCTAGGGAACGACCATCTGCAAAACAGCAGCTCCATAGGTTACATGCAGCTTAATCTTACCTAGGAACTCAAGAACAAAATGTAGCAGGTTAAAAAGCAGGAAATCATTGATACCCTCTCGATGGGAATTAGAACAACATTGAGAAAAATGAACTACTGATGACACCTACTTCAAGTGGCTTGCATTCTTATTCACTCCTTGATTCAATGAATGTTTGCTCCGTGTTTGCTCACTGCCACACACTCCAAAAGAGCATACTTGGGGTCTGTCTGTCCAGTTTCTAGAATACTATCAATAACCGCAGCATGCAATTCCCCTCCAAATCTGTCCATTTTGCATTTATGCCAGTGAAATAAGCAACCAACACAGAGAGAGTGCAAGGTATGATGACAGCCATCCCAATTTGCTCAGAACTAAGAGAGTCCCGGGGACACAGGACTTTCAGTTTTCTTTTCTTTTTCTTTGTTTTATTTATTTATTTGTTTGTTTGTTTGTTTGTTTATTTGAGCTGGAGTCTCACTCTGTCACCAGGCTGGAGTGCAGTGGTGTGATCTTGGCTCACTGCAACCTCCACCTCCTGGGTTAAAGTGATTCTCCTGCCTCAACCTCCCAAGAAGCTAGGCCTGCAGGTGCATGCCACCACGCCCAACTAATTTTTGTATTTTTAGTGGAGACAGGGTTTCACCATGTGGGCCAGGATGGTAACCTTGTGATCTGCCCACCTTGGCCTCCCAAAGTGCTAGGATTACAGGCGTGTGCCACCACTCCCAGCCTCAGTTTTCTTTTCTTTGTTTTTTCAGTTTTCTTTTTTTTTTTCTGTCCAGACCAGCATGGAGTGGCATGATCATGACTCACTGTAGCCTCCTTTTGACCTCCCAGGTTCAAGTGATCCTCCTGCCTCAGCCTCCTAAGTAGCTGGGACCATAGGTGTCTACAACCACACCCCCTATTTTTAAAATTTTTTTTATGAAGACAGTGTCTTACTGTATTGTCCAGGCTGGTCTTGAACTCCAGGGCTCAAGGGGTCCTCCCATCTCAGTCTCCCAAGGTGCTGGGACTACAGGCATGTGCCACCATGTCCTGCCTCAGTTTTCAAACTGAGAAAGTCCTGGAAAACTTGTGATAAGTTGGATTTCACCTTTGACAATTTTTGTGTGACCTTTAATGATTTGTTTAAATTCTTAGGCCTCAGTTTCCACATCTGTAGAATAAAGGCACAAGAATAGTTTAAGATTACCTTCAGCTTCAGTATTCTTAGAGTGAATTTAACATCTTAGGATGTTAAATAGCCTTTCTATTAGAATGGTTTCTGGAGGAGCTATAAAGATATAGGGAGTTCCTTAGAAATATCTAGGCACAAATAAAAATAAGGCTGTGTTCAAATCTGGTTAGATTCCCAATGATTACAAGAATCTAATCTAAACATAAGCCACTCCTTTTAATTAAACAGCTGCATTCTTTGCCTCCATGCGTGGATAAACTTAGCTCAGCACAGAAAAAGTTACATTCAGAAACTGTAACAGAGAACCCCAGAGTCTGTTCTGGTAATAAATAGCTTAAAATTATATTCAGCTGGGTCCTTCAGCAATTAAGCAGTATGATCATCTCATAGTATTCCAGGTGAAACAGACTTCTGTTGCTATTGGGTGCTTTGTGTTATGGGTAAGATTGCAGAGGGAATTAAGGAGCACAGACCACGTGAATACTCACATCTTTGAAAGAATCACAAGTAGAGAAATCAGAGAATAGGAAGATGGGAAGAGGAAGGAAGCCTGATTCAAATTCTAACGCTAACTTAGACAAAGACTTCACTTTTCCTGGACTTTAGTAGCCTCATCTGTAAAATGAGCAAAAAATATACTTTCCAGGGTTGTGTGAGGGTAAACTTGTTCTCTTTCTTTAAAAGTGTGTATGTGGTTCTTATATTCATCAATTCTTTTTTTTTCTTTCTCAATTTCTTTTATTGCATTTTAGGTTTGGGGGTACATGTGAAGAACATGCAAGACTGTTGCATAGGGACACACATGCAATGTGATTTGCTGCCTTCCTCGCCATCCCCTATATCTGGCATTTCTCCCCATGCTATCTCTCCCCAACTCCCCACCCCCCGCTGTCCCTCCCCTATTTCCCCCAACAGACCCCAGTGTGTGATGCTCCCCTCCCTGTGTCCATGTGTTCTCATTGTTCAACACCCACCTATGAGTGTATTCATCATTTCTTACATTTTACATACATACACACACACCACCCCACACACACTCACACACATGGATTTATGTATGGATAAATTTTATTTTATAAATTTATCCTTATATTTTATACATGTATTTTACATATATACTGTGGGTATATATATATATGTGCGTGTATATACACTGTATACAATATATACACATACTTTATTATATATAATGTGTACATATATATAAACTACTATATATACACTACTATTCATATAAAGTATAAGAAAGGATTTATAAAATAAAATATAAAATTTATAAGAGAATTTATAAATAAAATTCATTTATATATAAACCTATATATAACTTGTATAACTATATAGCATATATGTTTATATTATATTTTATATGTAATAATATATTTATTATATATTTTATATTTCTGTTATATACTTATATATCATTATATATACTATATAGCATACATAGTTATACAAGATATATATAGGTTTATATATAATTATATATGACATAAGCTACATGTTATATATAATTTATATAATATGTAACTTATATGTTATATATTATGAACAAATTAATTATTAATTATGTTATATATATCTCACTTAAATATGTCTTATATATAACTTATATATGTTATATATTATGTTTTATATTATATATAACTTATATGTTATATATTATGTTATATATATGCTATAATATATATGTTATATAACATATAACAAGTTATATATATTATATATGTTATATATAATTTAGATATATGTATAAATACATAATTAATTGATTTATATATAATATATAACATAATATACATTCATGTTATATATTATATATAAATTAATTATGTATTTATACATATATATAAACTATATATGCAGTCAACCCTTGAACAACCCAGTGGTTAGGTGCACCAACCCCACACAGTTAAGAATCCATACATAACTTTTGACTCCCCCAAAATTTAACCACTAATAGCCAGCTGTTGACCTGAAGCCTCACTGATAACATAAAGCTGATTAACATATATTTTGTATATGTATTATGTACTGTACTGTATTCTTATAATTGAGAAAATATTATTAAAATTATAAGGAAGAGAAAATACTTTTACCGTTCATTAAGTAGAAGTGGATTATCATCAACATCTTCATGCTCGTCATCTTCACCTTGAGTAGGGGCAGAGGAGGAGGAGGACAAGAAGGGGTTGGTTTCTCTCAGGGATGGCAGAGGAGAAGAAAGCTCGTGTAAGTGGACTCATGCAGCAAAGTGTCAACTGTATAAAATACTTCTAAAAACATTAATATAGACTATGTCGTACTGTCTGACTGCAACAGTCCTTGATATAAACAGCAAATAGCATTTCTAAATACCAAAAAGGTTGTGCAAATCTAGAAGGATATGTTGTGGAAGAATAAGTAGCAGAACCACTCTTTAACTCCTTCAAGTCCGGTCAGAGCTACTTTTTGGCTAACCCAAGAGTCTCCCAGATTAAAATAAGAAGTAAGGTGTCATTGAGCATCCGTCCGTGTCTCTGAGAAGAATTTTCCCTTAAATTGTTGGAGACAAACAGCGATCTAAGAGTATTTTGTGATCTATAGAATCTCATGCTAAGAAAGGCCTCCAGATCCCCTAGTCTAATGATGTTTTCTCTGACTTAGATAAATGCTCACCCAGACCCTACTCATGAGCTCCTAAGGTTTTTATTCTACCTTTTTGCCTTTACTTAATGCGTCTTACCAGATTCAGTTTCTATTGGTCCATCTGATTGCATTCGTTCGGATTCCTGAGACTCCCATGTGCTAAACACCGTGCCTACCACACAAACAGTAAGCCCTCAATCAATGGCATTGTTCTCCCTTGCACTACTTTCTCCTTCTTACATAATCCCTGGCTCAAAGTAGGGCACAGTTAGCATTCTTTAAAAAAAAAAAAAAAAAAAAAAAAAAAGCTTTTCCTGGTGTCCAAAAAGATGTGCCATGGGCTGACAGCCAGGATATTCCTCTGGGAATTAACAGGGAAAATTCAAGAGGAAGAGAGGAGAGCAAAGTGGCAATCTGGTGTTGGGATCTGAATTCTGTTTGCAAGGAAAAAGGTTCTGTTGCCTTTAGATGGCGAGTAGCCCAAAAGCTGCTGAAATTTCGATTCAATGGTAAAAGTCAATTGCTCCCCCAGTCCTTATGCCTGTGGCATGGCAATGCTGTCCCGAGTTTGATTTAACTTTCTCACCAATACACAGGAACAGGTTGTGAGAAAACAATTATCTCAAGACCTCCCTCAAAACTCAGCTGTTTTTCAACCCCATTAGTGTTGAGATAGCGGCGTACGACTGCAGGATGATTTATCTCTCAATACTGATCTGTTCCTACATTACTGGACATTTCCTCCACAGCTGATTCCATCAATCATGCAATCATCTGAGCAGCTCTGCAGCCCCTGCTCCTCTCACAGAGCCACACTTGCTATTTATCTTCCATGCCGTCTCTCATCTTGTCAGTTTTAATTCTGCTCCATTCTCATTCTCTTCTCCTGTCCCCTGAGGGCTCTGTCTGGAACATATTATTATTCAGTATTTACAGGGATGTCACTTGAAAAATGTCACCATCGGAAATGACAAAATTCAGGGATTTGCACAGAATCATCTGTGCCCCGACCACCATTTTGAATGTTTATACGATGATGTAAATTCCACAACTACCCACAAATCTCTAAAATTATTGAACTGGTCCAAAGGAAGCCTTAGGGCCGGCGTGTGGCATTTGCTAAAATCCTTCCAGTTTGATTGCAAAGGTTTCATTTTGGAGGAGACTTTATTCAACTTTCTATTTTTAGAAAAAAGTATAATTTAGAAACACTCACACCATTATTAATGTTGTCACACTAGTGAGACCTCAAGTGCTATCCCTAAACCTCTAAAATCTATAATTATGACTTGCCTATGTTGGATTCGCAAATGTATTTCTTTTTTAATGATGGAATTAAAATGCTTACTTATCTAACACCCACATAGCATTTTGGCGTCCCAGGACCTGCTCTAAGCATGTATACACACATATGTTACTCCTCAAACCAAAATTGTTTTCACTGCTATCAGAGAGGGTATTTGGGCAAACTGTTTAAATAGAAGGAGAAGTCCATTCATTCAACATACACTATACCCTCAACTTTATCACAGACATTGTCTTTCAGATGACGACCACAGTTCTGAAAATAAATAACATGATCTTCATGTTCGTAAATGAGAAAGATGAAGGATTAAAAAGTTCACAGACTCATGGAGGTGGCTCAGCCAGCATCTTAACCAAATCTGTCCAATTCCAAATATTCTGCCTCTCAATGCCCCACCATGCCAATCTCTATCTTTGCCTTCGGAAAGGGATTTGATATGCCAGGTTATTGTAAAACCTTCTTTCTTAAAGTTGTGGCTCAACCTTTGTCCTGGTGTAACATCTCATCAGTCGAAGCTCAGCCATCGTTTTATATCAGCGTCTGTGGCAATTCACTTTGTCCTGATTGATCATGAAGGAGGGAATGAGGTGGAAAGTGTACTCACCTTTTCCTCAGATTGGACTAGAGTGATACAAAGTTCTAGAGCTGTCACTGGGCCTGCACTGGTGACTCGCCTTACGAAAAACAAAGCATCTTCCTGTACCTGGGTGTTCCAAGTTCTTGGCTCCCTTGCCCCAGGAATGGGGGAAGAGGCCCTGGAGGTGCTGTGGGCTTATCCAAGTAAATATCGGACCCAAAGAGTTTTGTAGAAAAGTGATTCGTTAGGCAGAGAGAGAGAAAGAGAAATAGAGAGCAAGAGAGTTTCCACACTGCCATATCACAGACAACTTGGAGGAAGCTCAGCTGGACCAGAAGAGCCAGAAATTGGGATCATACAATGGTGGATCATGAGGGCAAGGCCGCTCACCGGCAGGGAGGCCCAATGGAGGGGAGCAGGTGGCAACAGGAAAGACTGGAGGCCAGTCTGATAGGAAGGTGAACACCAGCGAGGGGCAACTGCAGGAGCATTGACGGGAAACCCAGGCATGGTCTGCAGAAGCAGCTCCCCACACTTCCAGATGACTCCAGGAAGATGAACAGAGCCTTGATCTCTGAGAACCCAATCTTCTGAACAAGATGTCAACATGCTAATAAGCATAGGGTCTTACTCTGTAGCAGGTGCTTTTGCTTTATGTGTAATTAACTCCCCATCTTCTCAACAATCACATGAAGCAATTGCCACTTCTACCCCCATGTATAAATTTGTCCAACCATGCAGCTCATAGGCAAATTAACTGTAATTCCAAACCTGGATACACTGACCCTAGAACCCACACTCTCACCACTTTCCTGCCCACCACCACCTCTTAGAGTCAAGGTGAAAACTAAATAACAAGCACTTATGAGCTGCAAATATAAGTGGAAAGCACAGTCCAAGCATTTGTTTGAACCCACAAAATTTATACAACAACTCTATGAGATAGTATGTCCATCAGCATTTGGTCAGGAAAACAAAAAAGTATTTTGCTTGCTCTAAGCATCAATAGTTCTAATGCAAAAAATTAGAGGTTTGCAGACTTTTGGAAAAGCTTAGCAATGGAATTCAGGGAACTCACCAGGACCTTTCTGCCTGCTGCTGCATCGATGCAAGTGGGAGTCAACACTCACCCAGAGGCCACTGAACACCTTAAGGGCCTCTGGGAGGGTCTCTGCCTTCTCAGCCAGCAGCCCTGAGACAGGTGATTCTTAGGCTTACCTGAAAGCCATTATAAATCTTTCATCTGCCTGCCCACACATTTGCCTGCAGCCACCTCCTTTAAAACCTAATGGCTGCTGCTTCTTTTCTTTTAGGAAAATCTCACACAAGTGCCTCTCCTTGGCAGACTCTACAGAAAGCCATACTCAAAAAGATGTTCTAAGAACAGTAGTCATTGGCTTCTCCACACTACACAGGAGACTTGGAAGGCAGTAAAGATGCATCAAGTTGAGAATAGACGATCTGCCAAAATTAGGTATAATTAGTATACCCATTTTACAGTTGATGAAACTGAGGCAGAGGCACAAAGAGGTTAATCAATGTACCCCAAATCACATAACTTTAGTAAATGATAAAGTGATGATTCAAATGTAGAGTGTCTGGCTCCACAATTCCCGCTGTTGACATTGCATGAGATTGTGTTCATGGAAGACTTAGCTCAGTACAGCTCGGCACACCCATTTGTGCTACACTCATTGTGGTGGCTGGGTTTTTATTCTTATTGTTACATTTCTTGTGTTACTATATTTGTTTTTCTCATAATTAGCACAATGGGGATTGCTCAGCTATTACTCACAGAATGTTGAATACCCTCACCAACAGTCCGCCCCACATTTCAAGGCAACCCAGGTGGGTTTTCTTCTTCTAATGAATGTATTATGACTTAGTCCAAAATTTCTAAATAATTACCAATTCCCAAAACCACCATCCTGAGTATCCACAGATGTGTGCATGAATACAAGCATACATGCACACACATTTGTGCGTGCACACACACACACACACTCACTCACTGTTTATAAACAGCTTCTTAACTGTATTTCAATGGACACGATTGATGAGAGTGAGTTCCAGGAGCTTCACCCATGCAATCCCGGCTGGCCAATTATTGCAGGCAGCCTGCTCTCACCTATTTGCTACACAAAAAACATGTCAAAATGCACTTGGAAACAACCCTAGGCTGCAGCACACTGAGAAAGTGAGGCTGAGTATCAGACTTGCTGACTTCGGGCTGCCCAGCGTCACCCGGAATGCATGTGTGGTCTCTGATTCCATCTCTAGGTACTGCAGGGAAGGCTCTGTAATTGGAAAATGCTGCCCAAGCAGAAAGTCTGCCTTGCTTAATAAACAGTGTTCTCTGAAGAAATTCAAAATTACCAGAGGAGAAACACAGCCTGGTGTTACCATCCGTGTTCTAGAACTGGCTGAAATTGACCCAATGTTTTAGCTGTGATCTTTCTCCTACAGCTCATTTAACCATACAATTAGGTGGTTAAGTAGATGCAAAATATTTCAAACTAAAGATGCTTCTCATCAATCCAGTGGTCAGAACTTTTTAAAGTAAATAATCAATTTGCTCTTCTTCGCTTTCATCATCCCTTACTCCTATCCATTGCTATCCATTTTCTTAGAAAAAAAGAAAGAAAAAAAAACAGAGATGGTTTATCTTAACTCAGCAATTTCATGTTCTATCAGATGGCAGGAGCAAAAATAAGAATTTGGAAGATTTCAAATGAAAACCCTATAGAGCAGAGCAAGGGCACAATCACGTGGCTAATAATGTATTTTGTAAATGTAGGGGAGAAAATTATGCATGAATACCAAATTTCCATGATAGGAAGGTGAACAGCCTGTTTCATGACTGCAAATTCAATGCTGGAAATCACATCACTCTGAACAGGTATACAGTTTTATATTCCAATTGAGAACGGAGTGCCATGTGAATGCGTTCGGCAAAAAGGTGGCAGAGGAATATTGCTTCTTTAATAAGATTTTTTATTCAAATGTGCTGAGCCAAACCATTTAAAATTGCATTTGAATAGTAAACAGATAACATCACCGTTTTTAAAAACCTGCACACTTGTGCCAGATCAACAGAGAGCCTGCAAAATAAAGACAGAGAGAAGGAGGTATCAGCTCTGAATAGAAAATAAAATTAAATATGACTTCTCAGTCACGAGGCCTTCTTCAGGCCTCAAAAGGTAAAGCAAGGTTAACACCATCCTTCATCAGCACAGCTCTGGGAATGTCTCTGAGCCAGCAGGTTTTTCCTCATCCACGTACGTTTTACAAATACAAATTTAATTT